TTGGTTGTTCCAGCTCGCTGGTTGCACCAGGGTGAAAAATCATTCTCTGTTTTGGATTTGTGATAAGAGTTTTTGTAAACTTCTATTCTTACATAATCCTCCCCACTGAAAAAAGTGCAGCAGATTTATTTAAGCCTATAATTCTGATCTTGGGGGCATTGGGAAATCAAACCAGTAAAAAGGCCCATAGAATTAAACTGTAATTTGGGGAATGTAATATTAGGGGCAGCCTGCAACAACTGCCCCATGCATTTCTTTTCCAAATACTTGAACCTGTGTGGGAATAAAAAAGGACTTTACAAACCTGTGGCATAACATTTACACTTTCATAATAACATAACATAACACAACACAACACAACACAACATTTATCCTTTTGCAAAGACTTAACTTTCTAGAGCAAAAAATATTGAGTGACAGTGGTGCTCAATTTACATCAGTTGGGGTAATTCTGATTCTTTCTCTGCCTGGAAAAGAATCCCTGAGAGACTTGATGAACAGCACAATGCTTGGAGACAAGCGTGAGCAAAGTATGCAGAAGTAGCCATTTAGCATGAGCTAGGTGAGTCTGTTAGTAATGTAGTGCAATGTAACTTGCATCCAGTACTGAGGTGATTTTGAAAACAAAAGATTCACACATTTTTCAGTCTCAGATCTACTGGGCCTAAATCAAGAGAATGAGGCATCTCACATAGCTAGAAGTGATTGTCATTACCTGAGAAGTTGTGCTCTTTGGTTGGGGATAGGTAAATGCTAAATCAGAATCATGAGGAAGCCAGGGATGTGCCAGAATTGAGAGTCTAGCTAGCTCCCAGAATACTGCACAGGGATGCTGGAAACAGCCAGAGAGGTGCCAGCCTGTAGGCACCATGTGCTCGTGCTGAGGAGCAATGTGGTGTTCTGTGGGTCTGCTGGCAGGTGTTGGCTGCAGGTCTCTGTGTGTCATGCAGCAGGGACGTGGCACCATCAGTGTGTGATTCAGCACACAGCATGCCTGGGGACCTGAGGTGCAGATTTGTGTGCAGTGTGTGCATGAGAGCGTGGCTGCAGCTGGGGTGGCCTCGTCACACTGCCTCTTGGGTCTGGTCTCTGGACAGCTCTTAACTCCAAAAATGGGAATTGTTGGAGACTTAGCTGCCAGCTCCCTGTGCCAGGTGCACTTCTGGCAGCTGAACAGGAGGCTGTGCCCAGCATCCCTGGCCACTGTGTGTCCCCTGTTGCCTTCACTAGTCTTGCTTGTGCAGGAGGGTGACAGTGCAGGCAGTGGTGCTGTATGCCTGCTGAAGGACAGAAGATTGTCCAAGACAGGTGAATTCTGACAAAAAAAATGCACATATTTTCTGAAAGAAGGCCATGTGCAAGAATTTAGCAGTCCAGCCTTTCACTAGTTTTGCATTTCTGAGTGTTTTCATAGTTCTGTGACACAGCTGAAGATAGATTACAGCTCTTCAATTAATACTGTGTACAAAAGTCCCTCATTCCACATGCTATTTTGTTAAACAACTACCTTTTGAGTTTGTACACAGTACAGTTTTCAGTGTTTAATATCTGGTTTTATGTAAATAATAAAATTATTGTATTCTATACAAGAACAAGGAGTAAAAGTGTTCTGATGGCACCAGCTGTAGAGTAGCCTGGCTTCACACCAGTGGAACACCAAAAGCAGAACTGTTTCTTGAATAACTGTTCAAATATATTGCTATAAATAATGAATAGTTGTCCTGACAAAACATAAAACTGTTGAAAATGGAGATAAGATGATGTGATGGATTAGTTGTTTTTTTTTTTTTTTAAGTGCTATTTCTTTTACCTGTCAGCAAACATTCTCTGTCTTTAATTGAACTGCATTGCTTCTCTTTCTAGACAGCCCTAGGTTTGTGAACTCACTGCTCCAGCAATCACCTACTACTCAGGAAAATTAGCTTTTGAATTTACAACAGCTCTTCATTTGGTTGTCTTGGCAATTCTCAGAAGTAATTAATTTTGTACTTGGTTTTTTATGTTTCTCACATTCTTAATAAGCAATGAGAGATTTGAGAGAGAATATAAATCTCTAATTTTATTTAAAGGGATTTTTTTTAGTGGTGCTCTTGTATTATTGCTTCTTTTGTCATTCAAATATATATAAGGCAATTTAAGTCAAAAAGCTCTCAGTGACATGTTCTCCCACTTTGGCATCATGATAAATATTACTTTAGTCAAGAAATTATATTTGGTTCTAAAGGGACTGCTCACTGAAGTAGTTGCTCATAGTCATGAGTAAGAACAACAGGCTCTGGCTGTAAACCTTTGACTTGCACACAACTCTTTGGAAGGGTAGATGATCTCCAGCATGACTGAGGAGTGCAAAGCCAACTCCGTAGCTCCTTTCTATACTGTGATTTACTGCACCTTTATACGTGGTCTCCTAAGGCTATATGGTGATACTGAAAGGCCAGCACACTCATTAGGTGATTTAAGCTATCTCAATGAGTGGAAAGTGTTGGTTTGGGGGTTGTAGATCATCAATAAATTGTTCATGTGTGAAATGAAAAGCCACCCTGAGGTCAACTTCCAGTAAATTCATCTTGAGCTCAGGCAATTTGGAAACACCTGGCTTAGCCCACTAATTATTTGATTGACTGCTATGACTTGAAAAACAAGATAGAGGTATCAGACAATAATGGCTTAATCAGAACTTTTAAACACTGCTGCTTTTTCAAATAAAGAGATCAGGATCTGTAGCAAATGCAGCTGCCACAGGGCAGCACAGCACACTCCTCTGCAGTGATAGGAGTCCACAGCCTTCTCAATCTGATAAATTGCATGCCAAGATCTTTAGACAACCAGATTCATGAGACTTGACCTTCCACACACTGGAGAGCCACAGGACAGCAGAGGTTGAAGGGTGATGCAGCTAACAGGGTTTTCCTAGGGTTTCAGCAAGATGGAGCTGGCTGCAGGGGGAATGCAGCAGGTTCCCAAGATCAGCCAGCACCATCAATCTTAGCCACATTTGTGTGCCCCTTTTCTCCCCATGCTGAGGATTCCAATTCCACAGCAATTCCTGTGGCAGTGCTGACTCACCTCTGATTGCATGAGACACGAGCTAAGGGGAGATTAAAGGAGTGTGTCAGCATTGTGATTCTTCTGCTTTTAAGTTGTACTTTTTGCCAATTCTCCAAGAGCTCTTATCTCCAAGTGGGTGATATTGCTTTGACTTGTGCATCCAAGCTATGGGCTTACATGGTTGTAGCTTCTTACTTGCCCAATATTTTTGAGAAAATCACCAATGCTGCATCCCCTGAAAGCACTATTAACATTGTACTGTTCTTAACACAAGCTAAAGAGTCCATTTTTCAAGTGAGTCAGCCATGCCTTACAAATTTGTGAAAATGGCATCTAGGTAATGCAGATTTTATATAGGCAAAAGGATTTATGAGCTGTATGGCTATAATTTTGGTAATCTGTACCTGGACATTTCAGGAATACATCTTGTGAAGGAGCATTTAATGAGTAAATGTTGGTAAGTAACAAAAAAAGTTTTACATTCTTAACTGAATCCCTTTTCCATGTGCTCTATCAATAAAAGAATGCTGTTCTGACAGTTTTCAAGAAAATTTTTTAATCTCTTGTTGTTATTAACTATAACTTAATACTCTTGTAAAGTACAATCAACCTGTCATAAGGGTGTTTCAAAGGGTTCTTCTTGTGACTATGCCTGAGAAATGCCAGAGATATGAGAAGTATGCATTACATTACATTGAGAAACATAGCCTGCAGAGAATGCAGGTTAGCTTCACCTTATACCCTGCAGGAACCCACTCCTTCAAACTCAGGGTGCTGAGCCCTCAACATCACAAAATCCTCTAAGCAGGGAGAGGAGGGACTGTCAGCATCTGTCCCTCATCTGATGGCACTGGGGGTAACAAACCCAGGGGAACACCTTGCCAAGTGTACAGTTGGTCTTTCAGGGCTTCATCTCACCTGGCTCACAGCACTGGACCCTTCAGATGTGACCTCAGAAGGAGCCAGCATCATCTCAGAAGTGTGTGCCAACAGCACACTGGTGGAGAGACATTCCATATTCTTTCCAAGTCCTGTTGCTCCCTCCAGAGTGAATTGGGCAGGAAGCTGAAGGTGTCTGGGGTTGTTCTAGCCCTGTAGCTGCTGTCAGAGCTGCAGCACTGCGAGCAGGGGGCTCAGCATGCCCAGCCTGCACAGCCTTTTCCCCCAAGCCCTCCATACTACCTCTGCTTGTGCCAGAGCTGTGCTCCAGCCCTGCACCATCGCAGTCCTGTTAAGAGAGATTCAATAGCGCTTAATGAATGAAGCAGTCTGGGGGGTGGAACGAGGTGTGAAGCTATGGCTGGTAGGTTGATGAAGACATTGAGCTGTCTGTGCTGCAGCTGGGACACTCACTGAGCTCTGCTGTGCTCTGCTCTGCCCACTCTGAGACTGAGGGGCCATCTGGAAACCCCAACAAGGGCAGGGCCAAGGCAGCACACCCCTGCTGTTCTGCATGTAGCAGTCCTTTGAATCTCTGATTTAGTTGTGCTATTTGGGATGATAAAAGATTTCTGATTGTTCACAGGCTAGTTATTAACTTACTACAGATGTTTTTATCTATTGATGTGAAATACTACCACATAGTAAAGCTCTAAAGATTTATGATTTATGTGAGCCAACGGGAACATGACTTTTTGCCATGTCCTTATAGAAGCACTGCTGTTTTATTAAGTAAATTGATTTGGAAGAAATCAGCATTGAATTTAACTCTTGCAGCTGACCTTACTTTCTCTTGAAGGATTTAAACTTTTCTAGTAGGCTTGATGGTCTGTCAACTCAGCATCAAGAATTTCTGTCTTTTTACTAATCTATGACTGTCATCCTGACACACTGATCTAAAGTGAATTACAGCAGCGGGAACCATCATTTCAGAATACTAGAAAAACTAGTGTAATTGCTTTACTTAAAGAATTATAATGAAAAGATTGCTCAGTCTGTTTTTGTCTTCCCAGTTGGTGGCCTCCATCGTGTTTATCAGCTTTGGCGTTGTAGCAGCCTTCTGCTGTGCTATCGTTGATGGAGTGTTCGCAGCACGACACATAGTAAGTACAGTGATTTTGTCATCCTTCAGTTTTGATTATTTATGTCATTTCTAGCAGGAAAGTATTTTCCTTTTGTTTTTGTTTAGCGGTATATTAAGGTTTTTGATAGTTTTTGGTGGAGATTCCAAATAGAAAGGTGATATAAAATGATGTCAGGAAAGGCATGCTAAAAGGTATATCTGCTTAGAAAAGGAAGACATTTCAACCACTACCATTTGTTTCCTATTGCACAAAGTCTTTGTGGGCACAGTAAGGATTTGGAATGTACCCAGTGAGGAGCATCAGAAGACCTGATGGGATTTGAATGTGCTAGTTTATATGTTAGAAATGTGTTTGCTGTTCTATCTTTTGTGATAGAATAGCTAAAAATAGTCTGAAGTACTAGCTAAATAGTATATAAATAATCTAAAAGAATACCTAAAAATAGTCTAAACCCTAGCTTTTAATTGAGCTTTGATTTCCAAAATTATCAAGAAATAAGTAGTCATATGTGTTAACAGACAATAGAGGTCAGATGTAGTATGCTAAATAATATGGCAAGTGGGATGGTATACAAGCCTCTCTCTGCTGTGAAATACCGTGGGCCTGCTCATCTTTCTGCTTATGTTCATTGAGTGGTAGCATAAGTCCACTGGCATCAGTGAGACCCTACTTGAATTTCAGTTAGCAAATACCTCAGAAGAATTAGGCTTTAGATCACTTGGAGTATAAAGTTATAAACTGATTTATATTTTACTTTTACTAAAGAGGGCTTTAAACCCAATGTGGGTTTCAGAGCCTCATGTGCATTACATTGCACAAGACAAAACACATCTATTGGTATAAAAAACTGAGGTGTGCAATGTGAGCATGGATAAATGCTCTGGATTGTACTCATGTTTTGTGCTATACAGACCCTGCAGGATGCCTGTTTTTCCTTGGATTTACCCTGTAGTTGTTCTGGATGACACCTGGTTTAGCCGTCCCTGATTAGCGTAGGCCCAGAGAACCTAGGGAAGAGGAGTTGTTTAGTTTAGACAAGCAGAGGTTATTTATTTGCAAGGAGATTATAGTGAGGTGAAGGTCAGTCTCTTCTGCTATGTCCCAGATGAAAGTGTGAGAAGAAACGGCCTTAAACTGAGCCAGGGGAGGTTCAGATTGGGTACTGAGAGAGTGGTTAAGCATTGGAGAAAGTTACCCTTTCTGGAAGTGCTCAAGAGGCATCTGGATGTGTCACTTAGGGTATGGTGTAGAGGTGATTTTAGGGTTGATGGTTGGACTGGATGATCCTGAAGGTCTCTTACAACCTTGATGATTCTGTGATTCTGTAATTTCCCAGGAACCCAACTTATTTCTGTCCTGCTTTAAAGTGATCATTATGAAGTGTTCAGATGGCACTTGTACAGCCTTACACCCTGTATTTGCAGGGCAGCTGTGCAGCCACAGCCCCCCACTGGTGGGGTAGACACAGCTTCTCTGAGGCCAGGTTCTGTGTCAGGGGACAGTGGGTGCTCAATCTCAAGCACAGACGCAGGCATCGCTCCTCACACCTTTCTAGGTGCTTTCAGTAGGAGATCACCAAGGCACAAAGCCATTGCACTGACCCAAGGAAAGAGCATCTTCCAATCTGGGGTGTGGTTCTGTGTCTGGTCAAGTCAGTGACTGGATATGACTGCATCCCCTGTGCAGGGCTGGAAGGGGCTGGTCACCATCCAGCCATTCCCCAGAGTGCTGGAGATGTACAACACAAGAACGTGATCCTGCTTCAGACACATCACGACAGGCTTCATGGCAATCCACGACCATTTGTTTACATCTGGGCCTAGTTCTGTTTGTCACATCTGTATCTTGCTGTCTCCTTCACCTGTTACAGAGCAAAGAAATACTTAGTAGCACCATTTATTGGAAAGCTAATTTGCACCTCAGCATGATCACACCCACTGCAACTCATTTCCTCCGTCTAATAAGGAACTTGATAGGATCAGGTGAATTAAAGGTGTACATCACCAAGTTTCTCTGACTAACACACCTCAGAAAGTCTGTAGGGATGATAGCAGAAGTGAGATCCCAATTTCATTCACACGTGCCATGCAGACTATGGTGTCACTGCCACTGTGTTACATCCTCTTTGCATCCCAGATCATTTCTTTCAGGAAGAGCAGCGGCACCACGTCCAGCCCACTCCCTACAGGCAGTACCAGCCTTTTTCAGACCTGGGTTGTGCCCTTGTTGTCCCCTGCCTTTGGGGCAAAACTACTTAAGAGTTGGACTAAACTGTCCTCCAGCCAGGGAAAGGACAAACTCCTGCCATGTCAGAGTGGGTGCCTAGTCTACACTAAACCCATAAAATTTTTGTGAAAAATGGTAGCTGAAGACAAGTCAGTCTTCAGACTGACTACAAATACAACATCTTTCACAACAACTCAGAATAAGAAATGTGTCCCCTTTTTCATTTTGTTTTTAGCTTCATTTGAGTTGGGAAGGATGTGAAGAGGACAAATCACGTAATTACAGATTTTTCTTAGTATGTGCCTGCAGTGGAATGGAGGCTATTATTGTTGCAGATTTTCTCCTGCTCTAATAAAACTGTGAATAGAATAATAAAATACTTTTCTCTGTTTTATTTCCTTCTCAAGAAGGCATGAAATTGACAGAAATTCTCCCAGGAAATGGATGTATTTCAGAAAAGAGATACTTCAATTATTTAAGAGTTACTTTGCTTTATGGAAAGCTATGGATCTGGATCTAGACACCATTTATAAAAATAAAACCACTGATTTAAAATAATTGATTTAAAATAGCAGTAGCTTATTTAAAAAATAATGCAGATATAATTAACCTTAAAGAAAACAACAACTAAACTGGAATCAAGTGAAATAAATCAAAGTTGAAATTAAAGTGCAGCCATGTTATTTCAGAAAAATATGGTGATTAAAGGAATTTATGTGCATTTGTGTGTTTGCTTCAGACATTTTGTTATTTAGTGGATGAGAATAATCCAGTTATTCTATTGGAGATCATTCAACAACCTCCTCCCACCACAGATACTCATTCTCTGCAGTAGCTATGACCTATTCATGACTGCCTTGACCATTACCACATGATCTTTAGCTTTGCAGTTGTGCTCCAGGAAGAATCTAAAACAGCCAGCATCAAGAAATACAGGTATGAAGTGAGGAAATTGTCTTTTCCAACCAGGTTTATTCTGTGATTCTGTGAAGGAAAAGCTGGATGCTGTGGAAGGCAGAGTTGCTTGTCCATTGTGAGATCTAAAATGCACACCAAACCAAGCAGTGCTAAGTTGTTCCTCTCCTCTTTGGCAAAGCCACTTCTGTGTAACATTGATTTAATTTAATTTTAAACTGACCTAGTTTCTTCCTCATGATAGTGATGACTTAAGGAATCAATTATAGCAGTAGATATCATCAGGTGCTAAGCCCTGAAATGAACCTGAGAACGAACCTAGCTGAACTAGAGGATACTGAAACACTCCTAGATTCAGATCTTCACCCATACAGTTTAAGTGCAGTTTGTGGACTGCTGAAGTATATCATCTGGGTAATTACCTACTGATTTGGTAGTTTAGAAATTAAACTTGAGATATTTGCTTTCTCTTTATATATGTTAACGCAAGATATTGATTAATAAGATAGGCATTATGTAAATTCACCTTCTGTGAGGCACAGAGACAAGGCGATGGGAAAATGGAGTCTTTGATCTGGGGGATGCTCATGCAAATTGAGCTCTGGTTTCTAGAACTCCAAGGCTGCTGTATTAAGTAATGCAAAGCTGGCAGCCTCAGCCCAGTGAACAAATAGCTACATTATAGACATGTTCTGTGTGATGAAGATCTGCTGATTTCTGTGTTAAGAAGGGTTCCCTGACACAGAGACCCCTGCCCAGCAGTGACCTGTGGGCTCCCAGCTGCTCCCGAGGCCTGAGGCAGAGGATGGTGGTGCTGCGTGTGTGGAGGCAGAGAAGCTTGTCACAGCTTTCCTCTGGAGGGATGTCCCTTGAATGGGCTGTGATAAGCTTATCTCAACCCTCTCCTGGAGAGATACCTCTTAGATGGGACAATCCTCCTTGTCATGGTGAGGTCTCCAGCTATCCCACCATGTCTTGATGCCTTTGTTAGTTCTTTGTAACCCATTGTTTTTTCCCCCTTGGTACCACCCTTGCTTTCCCCCATAAAGACCCCATCCTCTGGCCAGTTGAGGAGGGGAGCCATGGTTCCTGGCCACCCTTTGCAGAGCTGCTGGGCAAGAGAGGCTAAAATCACCATACAACACTCTTCTCTGTGTCGGCCTGGGATAACCTCGCAAGCAGAGCTGAAATCAGTGAGCTGGAATTACTGAGATCATCACTTGCAGCCACAGGCTGCACCTTGCTGAGGTTACCCAGTGGCCAGAGGATGGCCTGAGACCCCTAGAAAGCTGTCTCCTGGGAGACCTGAGAGAGGTCATGGCATCCCAGGTTGGACCAATGGATCTGCCTGGCTACCACACAGGTATCCTCAGGAGCCAGCAGCAGCATCCAGAGGTTGCACATTCAGTGACCAAGGATGTCAATCCCCTTCCCACCTTTGGAGCTTCTCATGCAGGGTACAAACGCTCAGGCAAGGACAGTGGCAGGGGTGACTGACAATGTTGCTGGCCACTGCTGCATTCTGCTGCAGGGTGACTTCATATGCCCATGGCATGTAACACAGGCCAGTCTTGCATGCTACAGGCCAGATGCTCTAAAAAGCCATTTGAAAATGTTCTGAGCAAGCCTAAGAAAGTTGGCTTTCCCATTGAAGAAGAGAACAAATAGTTGTATTCTATATCTAACAAAATTGTTACCTTGACAACTGGTGGTAGAAAACACAACTCAAAGAATAATTTCTCCCTGGAATTAAGTTAGGTGGATTCTCTGGAGAACAACACTAAATGCATTTTATGTTCTCCATGTTGCCACATGAGACAAAATTACACCTAATTACTTTAAATTCTATTTCCGGCCTGTATGACTCATTAATACAA